AAAAAAAAAAAAAAAAAAAAAAAAATTAACCCCTCCCGCAAAGGTAGAGTGCACGCTTGGAGGAGAAGGGATATAACAGTTTGGGGGTTTTGTTTTTCCCAGCACTGGAGATTGCAGCATGGCCTTCGCACTGAGCTATTACCCCAGTCTTTCTTTCTTTCTTTTTTTTTTTTTTTTGAAACAAGGACTCACTAAGTCCCTCTGTTGCCCACACTGGACTCAACTTTCAGTCCTCCTGCCTCAGCTTCTCAGAGCGCTGAGATGATAGTACACTACGGATTTTGACAAAGCCCTCTCAGGGATAGTGTTAAACACTTCAGATTTGAGTTAAACACTTAGAATCACTGAATTAAGCTAGCTCAACCCAGGCAGAGACATGACTTCTCAAGTGTGAAGCCCCACATTTCTCGGACGCATCCTAGCACTGTGGATGCGCTTCTCTGATACTTTCTGTTGAGCACAGGAGGTGTACTGTTCGCTGGTGGATAGGAGTCCTGGGTCTGTTGGGTCTGGGTGTTGGTAAATTCCTTGAATTTCTTTTCTTTGAGGGGGGGTACTGGATATCAAATTCACGACCTCAAACTTCCAAGCAGGCACTGTGCCACTGATCTATACCACCAGCCACATTCACTGAATTCCTTTTCTTTCTTTTTTTTTTTTTTTTTTTTCCGTCTTTTTGACTCAGGCTGGTCTCGAACTTAAGACGATCCTCCTGCCTCAGCCTCCCAAGTGCTGGGATTACAGGCGTGCACCCCCAAGCCCACCTTCCCTGAATTTCTTAAGCTTCCATTTCCTACTTTGTAAAATAGTGACAGAAATATCACACTGAGTTTCCTGTAGGACTAAATTAGTTAAAACTCCAGAGGGAGGACAGTGGAGAATGAAGAAATGAAGACAGGAGAAGCTGAGTTTATGTGGAGCCCTCTCTCCTGATGGGAAAAAGGAACAGCCCAGCAACTGCAGCGCGTTTATTTATACCCTCGGCATAGGAAGAAGTTCACTGAGAGTTTAAGGGGAGCGTAGGATCTGGTACAGGAAGAATATCTAGTCTTCAGCATGCCCTAGTTGTTTCACAAGGAACAAGAGGGGAAGTGTCTGTATTATCTCAGGGGAAGGTCAAGTCCCTTTGTGTGTCAGCTGCCTCAAACTGCATACACTTCTTTTTTATAGGATGGAGAGCAAACTGGGGACATTAGGTGGGAATATCTCAGTGAACATCTGTGGTTAAAGTTTTCTGGCAATCTCGCATCTCAGTGGGCAGAGTCCTCTGAAGTGTAAGTTCTGGGGTGTCGCCAGATGTCTCCAGGACCTGCAAAATTCCTTGTCCTGTTTTATCTCCTTTCCCGCCTGATGACAGCCTTGGGTACTGAGCTGACTTCCTTGCAGAGAAAAATGCTTCTGCTGGCAAGCAGGCTGGGGGCTTAGAGAGTCAGGCCAGGTTGGAGACTTACAGATGGGAGCTGGGCTTTTAGGCGTAACTAAAAGGAATGGGTGAAGAGAAAGTTATCCCAGATGCAGCTTAAGCGAGTTATTTTTTTTCTCTGGTGACTACTGAGGTATGATGGCTGGTAGGAAGGCCAGAGATGGAGGAGATGGCCATCCGGCCAGAGGGAAGAGGCAGAGTGTCCTTTAGTCTTGCTAGACCAGCTGTAAAGACGAATCTGAGCTCTGGAGTTTCCACCTCAGAGAACAAATATAGAATGTAATAAACTATTAAACACAAGTAAAATTCTGTTGGAAATGCAGCCCTTCAGGTTGATGGGCACTTTTTGCGTTAGTTCAGGAATTTATGAATAAATATCATGTATTGTTAAAATGAATCCAGATTCAATATTAATTCTCCTGTTGTTTGTTTTATTCATTGTTAGTCCCATGAAGTGTTTTTCACATAAATAACATGATAAGACATTGTTATATATGAAATATTATCATTTGATTTTTTGCAGTCCTCTGAGACACAGGCCAAAAATCATAAACATGAATAGAGATTTTGTCAATTTATTATATTTAATGGTCTATTACTTTGCATCTCAGTTAAGTCCTCTTTCCATTTTTCAGAAAGTACTTGGAAACATCTGTGCTAGTTGTTTTCCCCCCTCTCCTTCCAAATGATCAAGTCTGTTTTCTGTCATTCTTTGCCCTATACTGTGACTATGTTTTGCTTTTTTTTGAGACAGGGTCTCGCTGAATAGTTTGGGCTGTAGCCCAGGCTGATCTCAAACTCCCATGATCCTCCTGCTTCAGCCTTTCCAGTGGAAATTACAGGTGTGCGCCACCATTCCCTGTCTGTACCATAACTACTGAAGCGAATTCTTCAGAGGACACCACCTTCAGAGGCACCTGAGCTGTACTCCATCCTGCCCAGTTGCCACCAAGTTAGCTGCAGTCTTGTTGAAGAGCTCATTCCACCAGTGGTTTGTAAACTCCTTGGAAGGGTCGTGTCCCACCAATGAGTGTCTTGCTTCAGTGTCACCTTGAGGGCTGGGGTGACGCCAGTCTCCTTCCGGCCCAGGCCTTTTCCTTGACTCCATCCATGCTTTAGCAGCTGCTCCTCAGCAAACTTCATCTCCCGACTCTCGACTTCTACGGTAACACTCATGGTGGATAAAGGGGCTATTTCTCAGGATGTCACCAGAGGAGGAGAGAACATTGTCTGTCACTGCAGAGTCCTCTGCACGGAAGCATGTGCCACAGCTGACATGTGCGCCATCTTCTGTCGGGTTAAATTACCCTTAGTTATTGTGGGCTGATCAGGCCTGCAATCCCCCAAGAATGGGGGCTGGGGGTTTAGCTCAGCGGCAAAAATACCTGCCTGGCAAGCGCGAGGTCGTGAGTTCGGTTCCCGGCACCAGAGAAAAAAAAAAAAAAAAAAAAAAAAAAATCCCCCAAGAATGGACTGCGAAGGCTTAAATAAATGAGACAATTGAAATGATTTCAGAGCTCCAGGAGGGTCTAACTCTCTTACAGCTTTGATATTCTCTGAGTTTAGACCAAGATGTCTCTGGGTAGCCCATATTTATTTGGTTAACAAACAAAGGAGGGGGATACTCAGGAAAATGCAGGAATCTGGGCAGGACTTTTCCAAGTAATACTTATGTTAATTTAGGAGAACTATGTTATCTCCAGGAAGGCCTTCACAGCAGGAGTGAGATGCCTGCAGCTACAACCTCCTTTAAGTTAACTGGGGTTGGAGCCAGACGTCCTCAGCTGTGGCCTTATCTTGTCCTTTGAGGCATCACACCTTCACAGGCCAATACAGGCCTCAGCGGTGACCAGTGACTCACAGAGGTTTACATACTATGAGTCCGCTGCCTATCTTCGGACAAGGTGACTAAGCTTCAGCCAATTGGTTAATATTAAATCCCGTTCAGAGCCACTTTGTAGTGGTTCCCAACATTCCTTCTCTGATTCCTCTCAGCTCTGAGCCAAATTTGCTGGAAGGAACTGTGTCAGGGGTGGCAAACCTATAGCACGCAGGCTGAAGCGGGCTGTTTGTATCATTGAAAGCACTAAAAGCTTCACCATCACTGAACTGTAGCCTGTGATATTGGTAGCTTTTGAGGTACAAGTTCCTCTTATGACCTTTTTTGTTTGTTTGTTTTTCGGTGCCAAGAATCAAACTCAAGACCTTGCACTTGCCAGGTAAGCACTGTCCCACTGAGCTAAATCCCCAGCCCCCCTCTTATGACCTTCTAACTCAGTCTCAAAGTAAAAATTAAAAAAAAAAAACAGAGAAAGGTTGGAGATGTAGCTCAGTGTTAAGACCCTGGGTTCAATGCACTGTACTGCAGCCAAGCTGAGTGGTTTTTTCTTGGTGAGGGGTTACTAGGAATTGAACTCAGGACCTTGTGTTTGCCAGGAAGGTGCTATGCCCCTGAGCTGTATCCCTGGTCCCAATCCTAGCACTCTGGCAGCTGAGGATCAAGCCTAGCCTGGGCAACTTAGTGATTTAGTGAGACCATCTCTCAAAATATAATAGCAAGAAAGAGCTGGGGGTATAGTTCAGGCTTCAAGCCCTGGGTTCAATCCCCATTACAAAACAAAAATCCTAAGTACTGCGAAAAAAAAGCTATATTTGACTGCATTTTAGAGCTTGTATGGAAGAGAAAAGAAAGAACTTTAAAGCCTTGAACTCCCAGTGGAAGATACTGCAGATTAAAAACTAGGTTTCCATGGTGACCTCAAATCCCTTAACTTGTGTACCTGCCAGGCAGATACCACTGAGCATTAGACCACAATGTCTGAATGTACAGGATCTAGAGTTATAGTGCTGGATA